TAACCTAAATTGATTACTTACCTGCGGTGAAAAGATGCGCCAAGTCCTTTACGACCGAGATCTCAAAAAAACTTTCCATACTTGCTTCGAAATTGCAAACAATTAATCAATAATTTAAATACTACGTTCATTTTTGATCAAGTCAAAGTTTGGATATGTAAACGCGTAGAGCTCAACTATTTACGCGCAATCTCACTCTTGTTTCGAGTGTATCAGCAGCGCCGCAGTCGTAAGCGCGGGATATGCTTGTTTGGGTCACGCATTGATACTATACGAGTACGCTACACTCCGGTTGCCAGAGCACAGCATATTCTCGTGTTCCGTGCGCAGCATACTCGTGCAGGAATGTAGCATACACTGAAAGTTTCTCGGTGCACACACACACACACACCTACACCCGGCCACACATCGGCCTCCTTGGCTCAGTGGGTATAGTTCTTGCCTGCTGATACAAGGTGCGCCTGCGATGCCCGCAGACCAGGCAGCCTAGCTCTCCGCTGCTGGTGCGCGGCGCGGTGGCGGCCCTGTTTCCGCGGGTCCCGAGCGGGCCCGCCTTGCAGCTGCCGCGACGGGCAGGAGAGCTTATCCCAGCCGTCACCTTGGAGGAACTCAAAGGAGCTCAGTCGAGGATCAGGGAGCGCTCGGCGCCAGGCCCGGATGGCGTACCCAACTCGGCGCTCAAGCTCGCTATCGCCGCGCGTCCCGACGCCTTTTTAAGTGTGTACACGACGTGTCTGGAGACCTGCGTTTTCCCGTCTGCCTGGAAGCGCCAGAGACTCGTCCTGCTCCCAAAGCCGGGAAAACCCCCCGACGAGCCGTCCTCGTATCGTCCGCTGTGTATGTTAGACACGGCGGGTAAGATTCTCGAGAGAATCATATGCGACCGGCTGGAGGCTTTCACAGAGAGGCCCGGAGGCCTCTCGGAGCGACAGTATGGCTTCCGGAAGGGGCGATCTACGATCGACGCTATCGTAGACGTCACTTCTGCTGCCCAAGAGGCTATCGCAGGCAAGAGGTGGTACCGCGGTACCAAGAAGTACTGTGCCGTGGTGATGCTCGACGTGAGGAATGCGTTCAATTCGGCCCGGTGGGACAACATCCTCGCCGCTCTGCGCCGTTTGCTCGTTTCCGATTACTTGCTGAGAATAATCACCAGCTATTTCTCGGCAAGAGTGCTCGACTTCACCACGGATGATGGACCGGAGTCCTATGAAGTCACAGCAGGTGTACCACAGGGGTCGGTTCTGGGCCCGATCCTGTGGAACGTCATGTATGACGCTATCCTGCGCCTCAACTTCGACGGCGATGTTCGTATCGTCGGCTTCGCGGACGACATCGCTGTGGTGGCTGTCGCCAAACACCTATGGCAGATCGAACACGACCTGAACGCTGCCATATTACAGGTGCGAGGCGCGCTCCAAGCGCTCAGCTTAAATACGGCTGACCACAAGACGGAGGCTCTGCTCATCACAAGCAGAAAAAAGGAGGAAACCATCACCATCACGTAGGCGACCACAGCATACGCTCGTCCCCCTCCATTCGCTACCTGGGCCTGCACATCGACGCCAAGCTGAAGTTCGACCACCACCTCCGAACAGTCAGCGCGAAGGCAGCCGGTGTGATCGGCGCCCTCACGAAGATCATGCCCAACTCTGGCGGGCCCAGAAGCAGCCGACGTAAGCTGTATGCCCACGTCGTTGACTCCATACTCCTGTATGGAGCCCCCATCTGGAGCACAGCCGCCCAAAAGCGAGCCTATATCCGCCAGGCGGAGTCAGCCCACCGACGAGCCTGCCTGCGTGTGATCGGAGGCCGGCCGCACGTCTCGTACGCGGCCACATATGTCCTTGCCGGCATACCACCGCTGGCCCTTCTCGCGGACGAGCGAGCGCGGCTCTACGGCCGCCGCCGAGAGGATGCAAAGGACGAGGAACGCTTGGCCACGATAAGCAAGTGGCAGGAAGCATGGGACCGGTCGACGAAGGGCCGATGGACGCACCGTCTGATCCCAAATATTAGAACGTGGATCGAGAGGGGGCACGGAGAGTTAAACTACCACCTCACGCAACTCTTGACCGGGCATGGCTTTTTTAAACACCATAGCCGACGCTACGACCGTAATCAAAGCGCGCAATGCCCGGTCTGCCCCACATCCATCGAGAACGCGGAGCATGTGTTTTATCACTGCCCGAGGTTCAGCGGAGAAAGAGAGAGACTGCAGGCTCTTCTCCACGAGGCCATGACGCCGGAAAACACCACCAGGCTCATGCTCGAGAGCGAGCCGAACTGGCTCGCAGTTGCCTCCTTCGCTCACTCGGTTGTAATAAGACTGAGAGACGAAGAAGTGGACTAAAGTGGATGACCGGACGATGCGGTTGGAAGAAGACGCTACCACACCCAAGCCCTCAGGAAGCGCACAATGCCAAACCCTCCAACCCCGTGAAGTAATGCCTAACGGCGGATTCCGCGGGGATGGAACAAAGGGAAACTGACGTGGATGTACCTGTATATACTATATGCAGTTTAAATTTAAATTGTTATGTTGTTCTACTGTTATGCTACATTGCTACTAAATGTATAGTTCTTTCGTTATTTTTTTTTTACTGAATAAATTACATTAATACATCCAAAAAAAAAAAAAAAAAAAAAAAAACACCCGGCCACACATCGGCCTCCTTGGCTCAGTGGGTATAGTTCTTGCCTGCTCATACAAGGTACGCCGTAGGGCGTGGGTTCGATCCCCACCGGACGAATTTTCGAGGTTCGTTTTTTCGCCTGGTGTGGCCGAGCCCGTGCCCGAGGTGGAGCGGGTACCACTCAAAAAGAAGACCCGGGCTATGTCATCAGCCTCCGAAGCAGTAAAAAACCCCGATCACTGCGTGAGCTGGAAGCGATAGGATAACCATAAGTAGGAGCCCGAGGCGAGGACTCACAAGGCTGGCAATAGATGGAGCACACCACTCCCATGATGAAGTCGGAAGCGAGAACCACACTCACAAGAGGGCGCCGGATGCGGGAGCCTAGGCTCGTTGCGGCCGCATGATGGCATCTGAAGCGAGAACCACACTCACAAGACGACAACAGAAAAGGAGGAGTATCAAAAACTCACGGAAGACTCATAGGGTAGCGCCGGAAGCGAGAACCACACTCACAAGATGCAGCCGACAGTGCAATGGGATGGGCTTGCCATCGGCTGCAGAAGCGAGAACCACACTCACAAGATGGCACTAGACAGCGAGTTCTAAAGAAGACGACTAACAGAAGTAGCAGAAATGCTCAACTAACCCCGGCCTCACCGAAGCAATGCCTAACGGCGGATTCCGGTGAGTGTCCGAATAGGGTGGAGTAGAAAAAAAAAAAAAAACACAGACACACACACATACTTTGACCAGGCCCTCGACGCGCCAGAGCTGCAGGTGGAACGCCCGTAGTGTTTGCATAGAAAACACTTTAATGCAAATCACATTCTGAACATTGTTATATGCACAAAATACACTTCTATAAAAATTATTCTCTTCGAAAGGGTGTAAAAAGTACTCCTGACACTGTTTTTTAACCCTTTAACGCCCAAAGTGATGAAATTTTTCGTTCGCAATCGACGCGATTTTTTCCCATGTTCTAGGCCTTTAAAAAACTTTGCTAATACATAGATTTATGTGAAATTCAATGCCCTTTCAGAATCTGGGTTTAAATTTGAGATTTCATGCTTCTTTGAAAAGTATGGTCCTTCAGATAAAAAAAAGTAACAATTTGTGCAAAAAATCAACTTTGAAATTTTTTTTCAAACTGTTGCGGGAAAAACTCAAGATATAAATATGATCATAGGTGATCATGGGTTTATAAGTACCTCAGTGAATTTTGACAGATTTTTTGAACCACTTTTTCTAATAAAATCGCGACCATGAAGTAAACTGTTCGTTTAATTATTTATAATGGCTGTGAATGTGGCACCTGAACTTCAACGTTTCTGCCAATGAAACGCGTCAATGAAAAACAAACACGAATATTTACAAAAAACGTCAAAGTTTATTAAATTGTCGCTAACGTTTCGCTGAGTTTATCAGCCTCTTCAGAGCGATTGTTAGTGGCGAACGGCTACATGTCAACTGAGAGAAAGACAAATTTCTTGTCGAATGACACACAAAAAAGTGTTGTCCTTATTGCCTTATCGCCTAAACTGATTGACTAGCGAATACTAGAGCATTATCTTTGTACTTATACAAAAAGTTTAATTTGCGGTTAAAACACTTTTGAAGACTGTTAACTGAGCTCCTTGCCCTTTTACCAAATAAAAACTTTCAACAATATAATCTCCAATCAAAACACTTTTGAATGGTGTAAACTACGCAACTATTACTGTTTCCCGGAAAAATTTTATACTTTTGGGTTGTCAGTGTATCACTTTAATTATAAATATAGGCGATGATTTTAAAAGTACGAATCAATATCATGCCTTGTCTGTTTAGAGACCCAAGATACAATGACACTTAAGAAAATAAAACAACTCTTGAAACATTACTAGATAATTTTTTTTGAATACTGAAATCCTCCGCTAAAAAAAAAATTGGTGGATTTTAATTCAAACTTTGTACTATTACGAAACAACACACACAGCAATTAGATATTCTTTTATGAATTGATTTATGTCATAGTTTTTTCTTATAAATGAGACCGATAATTAAAATATATGCTCAATTCTATTGAGTGGAAATTCAATAAATAAACTGTATTCAATTTTTCGTGTAAGATGATGTACTACATCAGCATCAATACAGAGATACAATCTGGAATGAAAAAACACGTTTATCACTTCATATTCGCGCACCACGTGTATGATCACAAATTTCAGTAAACTCACACACACCAATTTAGATTAGCAAGTTTTGGTAAAAAATAATTGAACTTTTAACTTCTTGAGTTGAATAATTATCTTTTTAAAAAAAATTTTTTCTCCATGCCAATCATTTTTTTTAATTTGATTTTATATCTTTCATTTTCAGGTAAATCAAACCAAGACGACGTATGTCACGTTGTTGCAAAATATGATTATGAAGCTCAAGGGGCTCAAGAACTGGATTTACGAAAAAATGAACGTTATCTTCTACTTGACGATTCAAAACATTGGTGGAGAGTTCAAAATACTCGTGGTCAAGCTGGCTATGTTCCCAGTAACTATGTGAAAAAAGAAAAGCCCTCTCTTTTCGATAGCATAAAAAAAAAAGTTAAAAAAAGTTCTGGATCGAAAGCGATACCCACTGGAAATTCACCCTCTCGTTTAGTTGAATCGCCAATAATGTCCAGACGCTTACCAACAGATCCATCCGAAGCAATTGGAACTGCCGTTGTAAAATATAACTATCAAGCTCAACAACTTGATGAACTTTCACTCACAAAAGGAACAAGAATATTGATACTTGAAAAAAGTAATGATGGATGGTGGAGAGGTCAGAGTGGTGCACAAACTGGTTGGTTTCCATCTAATTATACTCAAGAAGAAGGGGATGCTGATGATACGCTCCATACTTACGCAATGGCAGAAAACGTACTTGACATCGTTGTTGCTCTTTATTCATTTACTTCAAATAACGATCAAGAACTTTCATTTGAAAAAGGCGATCGCTTAGAAATATTAGATCGTCCACCAGCTGACCCTGAATGGTTTAAAGCAAGAAATGGTCAAGGTCAAATAGGCTTAGTGCCACGAAATTACCTTCAAGAATTGAGCGAATATTTAACTCAACCTTATAGAGATCGCGCTAGTACTGGTAATCATGCAGTAAACACAAGTGGTGATCATGGACCCAATGATTCATCTGATATGAAATCAGATAAGCTTGCATCTAATGATAGTAATAATTTATTAGATCGACCCCATTTAATCGGTAGAGCTTGGTACTATGGAAGTATTACTCGTTCTCAATGTGACACATTACTTAATCAACAAGGACATGATGGTGATTTTTTAATACGGGATAGTGAAACTAATGTGAGTATTATTAGGAGTGAATTTTTCTGCATCTAAAATGTATTTCATGAAATCATTGAATTAAGATATTTTGTGAAGCTGAATTACTGCAACATTTCAATATTCACTTAATTTCTCCTATTTTTTATATAAACAAAATCATATCCTCGCAATGTTGATTATGGAATAAAAATACAATTTTCGTCTTTAAGGAGTTACATAAAAATTAATAACCTCATATTTGATGTATTTTTTCACGGGTAATCAAATGGTGACCTTAGAATTAACATTAAACATTACTTTAAAGCTACAGCGAACCAAATATCGATTTTTACATGAAAATCTCGATTTTTTTACAGATTCGATTTTTTGCAGGAAAGAGCGAAAAATGTTACGGGGGGGGGGGGGNGGGGGGGGGGGGGGGGGGGTTACAGTTAGAAATAAAATCACTATTTAACCTAAAATTAAATTAAATAAGGATGATATTTTCGAACTTTAACGTTCAAAATGAGTTCACATTTTTATTTAAAATAATAAAAAACATTATTTTGATATTTATTCAGGCGCGTTTTGGACTCGCTAATAATTTTTAAGAATAAATATTTTAATGAAAATTTGTTTGGTAGAGGTAAACTACGATTGTCTAAAAGAACAAGATGGTCGCGCAATGTGCCATGCAGTTTTAAGTGAAAAATTAATTTTTTATGAGTTTTCATAATCCTAATTGTGCATTTTAAGTACAGTTAAATAGACCGGTACCGGTTGGACTAATGTTTAATAATCGTGACGATACTGGCAGCATTTGATTGTCAAACTATTTTAATGAAGAATTGTGAAACTCTAGCCCTGACAGATGAGCAGAAAAGGTTTCGATATCTTCTTAGTGGTTTAAATCATGGTTTAAAAACCCAACCCTATCAGTACGCAAAATATAAATTCTAAGTTTCGTTGTAGGTCAAAAATTAAAATCAAAGATACGTAATCTTTTGTATATTTCACTGAATTTAATATTGCTGTTAGTTTTTGTATCAAACCTTAATTTTTGGAGTTACTAGACTTTTCTGATCAAAAAAATCATTAACTCCCTTAACCAAAAAAATGATACAAACAAACGATTGATAAAAAAGGAATTTTCGAATTTTTACAATTTAAAAATATCACGAAGTCAGTCTATAAAGTTTGGTAAACGATCGTTCGAATCGATCGATCGAAATTAAAAAAATAGGCCTTTCTAGGGTTATTGACTTCAAATCTTTAGGACAACTCAACTTGATAACTTAACTTACGACAGTTCATCTTCGCGACAGATCATCTTAGAAAAAATTAAAATTTTCAGAATAACATAATAAGCGACATATGATATATAAAAAAAAGGAACAATGAAGTGGGAGTAAAAGAGCACTTATTTATTACAGCGTAATAACGAACGTGTGTAATAATAAACAAAAATACAAAGTAAAACAAAAAACAGCAAAAGATTTAACGCGATCGTTTACATAAAAGAAAAAATATACTATCAGCACTATTACACAAATAATCTAAAATATCATTTTTAACATGCAAAGAAACAATAGTTAACAAGTATTCGTCAAATTCTATCGATCGAAGTTTACGCTTACGCACAATTTTGCCACACTTAATGTCGCTAATCATATTCTCCTGCATGCCCTGTTAAACTTGTAAACATCTGAGAAATTTCTTGGCTCTTGTGCATCTTGTGACTAAAATTACGGTGCCAACCCTCGACACCTTAATTCATGTGATTGTTGTCTGACATGACTATGTTGTTATTGTTCCAAAGCGTTGGAGGATAAGGAGGCAATTTTTTGTGCGTCCAGTGACGGAACCGACCCACGTTTGTTTAGTGTAGTACTTCAAAAGTACTTCAGAACAGGTTTGAGCACAGTGGCGTTCTTTTTGGAATAAGCGGACTTGACTAGTTTAGCGTAGGCAAACGTAAAGTCGACAGTGGGCACTAATGCAAGTGCAATTAAATGTCTTACATGCAATGTAAATTTATCATCCTGATGATATTTAATTTGTAAATTAAATTTTTGAATATGTCGCTGAACGCATTGGATGAAATGAAAAAAACAACCGTGTAAAGTAGCATCAGAGAAAATGTCACTAAAGAAACTGATGTAGGATTGTTCAAAGTCAATTGTCATCCGAGTCGGTTGTAAGTGTCTACAGCAATTGATCAAAGTATGTAATACATGTTTCTATATATTACCGGCAAAAGCCGCTGTTGCCTAGGCAAAAACAGAAATGCCTATGATTTTAGGTAATAACCGCAATTCCTGAAAAAAATACAGGCAAAACTAACACTGCCTAGGTCAGTTTCGACATTTTCGTTTTTAAATAATTTCACATATAAAATCATTTGTAACACTGACAATATTCATTGAATGGTATTATCTAATAACAATTATTGTCAGGTGTATTTCATGCAATATACAGGGTGTCACTAAAGTATGGAAACCTATGAATATCTCGCACAGAAAATGTAATAAAAAAATCAAAAACCCTATGTCTGACGTATTTTTTGACAAGGAATCGAATGGTGGCCTTGAACATAACCTCAAAGCCACAGCAAACCTATTATCGATTTTTCAAATAGGAACTTTACGTAAGGATATTTCACGTTCAAATATGCCTTTTGAATTTTTTTTCAAAGTCATTTCAAGGGCACTACAAAATCAAATAAAACACCTATTTAACCTAAAATAAGGCTCAAGTATATACCTTTTTCTAACTGTAGCACCCCCATTTTAAAACGAAAAAAAAGGTATGACTAAACCGTTCAATATCAATAAGCAATTGATGTTAGGTATACACACTCTCTGCTTAGTGAATAAGTATTCGTCACATACGTACATAAAATCAATAATCACGAAGTAAACACAGTCAATTCAATAAATATTGTCAGTGTTACAAATGATTTTATATGCGAAATTATTTAAAAACTGAAATGCCTAAACTGACTTAGGCATTGCTAGTTTTGCCTGCATTTTTTTAGGCATTACGGGTTTTGCCTAAAAATTTTAACTACTTCCTAAACTTTTTCAGGTATTGCGGTTATTACCTAAAATCATAGGCATTTCCGTTTTTGCCTAAAAGCAGGTCGGAATCGGAACAAAAAAAAGACATTCTTATAATCAATAATGACAGCATTTCGAAAAGTTTATTGACCACGTTGTGAAAGAAATGGCGTCTATATGATCATCTGACATTATTTTCTCGAATAAAATCCACTTTCCAAATTGCCGTGATACCTTTTTACCATGCAATGATTTCCAAAGAAACGTTATTTTTAAAAGGTTAAATAATTTAAAAAGTATAAAAATCAAGCGAAATTCTTCGTAATTTTGTTCGAATAATTCAGGAGATGAAAAATGGAAATTTATAGTATGGGAAAAAGTCGATTACTTTTTCCTGGGACCGGGCCTTGAACCGATGATCAGTCGGATACAAGTCCAGCTCCTAACCACTACAGCTCGATATGCATCGATATTAGGTACAAGTGTCAAGTAACAATAAGGTACTTATGAAATATGTACATGTGTTTTTTTCTCCTTCTCTGACCGAAAGCTCGTTTTCCTTCTCTGTTATCAGGGAAGAAAGTGGCACTTCTAAGGGGAGTCATACACCAATTCACTACTCTTTTTTTTTATATAAACCACAGTTTAACATCAATCTATATTTTCAACATAAAATTTACATCTTAGAGCCCTAAAAAATGTGAAAAAAGTTGCAGAATAGGCCTTTGCATCTAAAAATAGCTTATTTTTGCTATTTTAGCCTTTCAGCACTGAGCGCAAGGTTCAGATCAGAGTTATTCAGGGGGGAGTTCCTGATGGGTCTCAAAATCTTCAGAAAAGTATCCTTAATGGGCTGAGTTTTGTGGAATTTTGATTTAGACCTTCATATCAGTTCTATTATTCACTATGTGCTCAAAAACATTGATAAATTTTTTTTATTTCTTGCTTTCTTCACATCTGTTGGCGTACAAACTTTTTTATAACTTTAATCAAAATTCCACATTTGGTTTTAGCCAAATAAATGTATCAAATAATGTACATAAACAAAATTATGAATGTCATATAACACATTCATAACAAACTATGAATGTGTTATGTGTTAATTTAAATGGAAAAGTGTTATTATTTGTACAGGACATCGATATATTATAAATAAAATGTACGTATATTGTTAATATACTGCGAGTAACTAACACTCAGGAGTAAGCCAATGGAATGGAGTCATGAATTGGTTCGTTAATACATCATTTACTTAGCTAGAAAATACGAAGAGCACTCGAAAAAAACACGAGTCGATCGAGCCAAGCTTTTTCAAGTATTCGCACACCCCAGCCTGCGTATAATGCGAAAGTTCTAAAATTTCGAAAAAAGTTATTTGAGATCAAATTTAATTAAAATATAGTTTAGATTATGGAGGCAAGTCGAAGCTCAAAATTAAATCATACTCACGTAGTATCAACTGATGAAGAACTCCAATTGAAAAGTTTTTGATACTTCTTTCTGTGGCCATCTTGTGAGTATGGTTCTCGCTTCAGTTGCCATCATGCGTGCTCAAACGAGCCTTGCGTCTATGCATCCACCGACGAGGTTCCCGCACCCGGCGCCATCTTGTGAGTGTAGTTTTCGCTTCGGAATTCATCACGGTAGTGTTGTACTCCCCGTTTATCGCCAGCCTTGTGGGTCCTCGCCTCAAGCTCCTACTTTTGGTTACCCTCTTCGCTTCCAGTTCGTACAGTGATCGGGGTTTCTTACTAGCTTCAGAGACTGATGTCCCGGAGACCAGAGACAGCCCGGGTCTTTTTTTTTGAGTGGTACCCGCTCTACTTCGGGTCCGGGCTCGATCACACCAGGCGAAAAAACGTCCACGTGGGCCTAAGTGAAACATTCGCCCAGTGGGAATCGAACCCACGTCCTGCGGCACATCCTTGTATCAGCAGGCAAGAACTATACCCACTGAGTCAAGAAGGTATCCGTCCATGT